GCCGGGTCAAAGGTTAAAGGTCAAAAGGTTAAAGAATCTAGAATTTTCTAGAACGTTCGAAAATTATGTGTAGTTAATTTGAGGGTTCTAGAACCTTCTGGAACTTTCACTGAAGACTCTATGGAAAGCTTAAGAGAGGGTCCATGAAATCACCACCCAAAATAGTAGAGACAAGTTGCCGAAAAATTTTAATTTTTGAAATGAGTTTGCTAGTTTGAAAGAGCATAAAAAGTTACTCAGAAACCCAAATTTTTACAACTTTTGGGCAATGCCTTCATATACTTCGGCGACCTAAAAGTTTTGACCCAAAATATCGGTCTGTCAAAAGCTATAGTTTTTCAATCATTTTGTTTATGAACTTTTTCACCACAAAAACTTCATCAAAATCATTATCAAATTATACTAATCGATAGAGCGGAAGCCACTCTACAAAATTCTTTATTTCCTATATGTCACTACTTACTTTCTAAAACGAAAAAAATCATTATAATAGGTGAAGTCAACCAATTTTTGCCCTATTTTAGATGCTGTGTTTTACTATTCTTGCTTATGTCATGCAGCTAATTTTTAAGAGCCTAAAGTGAATTTTACATAGTTTTGTAGAGCGTCAAAAGGCGCATCTTTTGATAAAAAAATATTGGTTCTAAAGTGCTGAGCAAGGTCCCGAAAAGTCCATGATAATGCTGGTTACTGTACAAGTTCAAAAAAGAATTTTTGTCGCTATTCTATTAGAAGTTTATATAGTTCGATAGAGCTTAGTGTGCTGATGACAAATATCACATTTTTTTTAAAAATTAGTCTGATAATAAGAAAGATCTGAAGCACTTTCTGAAAGTTCTAAAACTAGTTTTTGACCTGTAGATCCATGCAAACCCTACTCAGATTCGTTGAAAGTAGGCTCATTCGATGCAGAATATTTTTCTCTATTAGATCTGATAAGATCTTCTTAGACATTCAAATCTTTTGCTATCGATAAATGCCGAATACCGCTCCCAATCGGATCATATTCTTAAAAGAAGTGATTCTTGTTATTAAAATAAAAAGAATGTCAATTATAGATTTCGAATTACATAAAAAACGATATTCAATAATAATTCAATTGTAAGTAGATATATGAGGTCATATTGAACTCAAAAGAAGGTTTCGATAAACCTAGAAAAATGCTAAAAAGATTTGTTCCTATAGACCTTTGGAGTCGAGTTATGATCATTGTACTGAATTTTCAACCTGAAATATTGCTCATAAATAAGTCTACTAATACTTAGAATATCTTGGAAGTTTCAGCTGAAAAGAATATTTCCTTGGTGAGATCTGGAGTTTTCAAATACATTCGACACTATTTTATTTTGAAAAATTCAGTATCTCGACAAAGAAATATTCGTTTCGGGATATTCTAAAGAGTATTACACGTATCTATCAGCAAAATTCCCTCATTTGATTTTGTTAGTAAATGCTTGAAAATTCAATGAAACGGTCAAAGTCCGTTTCAAAGGTCTATTTTTCTTGTTTTATCGATACCTTTTTGTAGACTCCATATGAACCTAAATGGTAGATTACAGTTCCTTCGTATATAATACATTTATTGATTCGTAACTTCAGTTGAAGAATTGTTTTTCTTCGTCTTAGTTATTTTGACTTCATCTGTAAATAGTGACGAGTTGAATATATAAGATTGAATTTAAAGACTATGTTTATCAATTATATCAACTTATCTTCGATTTTTAATTTATTACTACTACGTCATACTAAAACTTTCATTATTAATAAAAATTTTTCTATGAAAAAAGTTATACATATGTCATAAATTAATATTTTCTAAAAGAAAATATTTAATTTTGTTTTTATACAAACCTTGTTCATCAAGATAACGTTTATTATGAACCAATATTTGACAAGTCAATGGTTTTTTATTACAAATTTGCCATTGACAAGCTGTTTCAGTTTCAATATAATCAGTAAAAAAATGAAAAGTTATAACTGACGAATATCGATCTTCAGTAGCTGATCTAAAATAAATATTGATATAATTTCCTTTTTTGTTTTGTCATTATCATATAATTATAATTACATACTCATAGGAAAATCCAGCTAAAAATTCTGTTGATACTTTTGAAAAAACATCAGTTATATCACTTTCTAATAATAGATGAAAATTTGAACCTATTTTCTAAATAATAATAACAAAAACAAATATATATATATATATTTAAATAAATGAAGAATAAATAATTTATACAGAAATAGTTCTATTTAATATTGGAATGTTTTTATTTATTGGTGAAACTGGTGTTATGTCATCATCATCATCAAGCTGAGG